CTTAAGTAACATCCCCCCCGAAAATTAAAAATAACACTTTCTGTTGTGAATAAAATATATGTGTGCCTAAAATAATTGTGTAAGTAGAAAAAAACAAATGCAAAAAACGCATTCAGAAACGGTTCAGTTTCCCCTTCCATTCTTCACAGTAATTTTGCCCACTACCTGCATTCCCAGTTGATCTCACCTACTCTACATACACAAGTCAGGTGTGCGACTGCGCCTCAATTTATGCTGAGCTCCTGTAAATAGGGTATTTTATTCACTTTAAATAAAGCCGATCTCTTTAATGTAGTTGATGCAGACTCATTCATAAATTAGTTGCTGCAAAAGTGCAAAATACCGATGTAATTTTCAATGAATCTGCTATATTAGTGATTAAAATATGACTTTAGTTAACATTAGCATGTTTACAATAGCTTGTTGCATAGTGCACAACAACTAACACACAAAATACATTTCTCTTGTGTTGTTTAATTTGTGATATAATGTTAACTTAACATTAACGGCCACATTTAGCATATTGTTTAGCTGTGCATTTACTAAATCAGCACTGTATTATATGTGTCCCGTTAAAAAATTGTTGATGAGAGATGTTATATTTATTGTCCCCTCTTACTGTTAAATGAAATGTACACCCATGCACACTAGGGCTGCACAATATATGATTTCAGCATCGGTATCGTAATGTGCACATTTGCAATAGTCTCATCACAGGATCTGCAGTGTTGAGTTTATATGTTGGGATTATAGTTGAGCAGGAGCCATAGTCCAAAAAACGTGAGCAGAATAGAGTTCAAGTTTATCATCTGCCTGTGTTGTTAAAACCTGTGACTGGAAGACATTGTACCAGATGTAACTTTGTTCGTTCGTTCATTCATTCATTCATTTTCCTCTGGCTTAGTCCCTTATTTGTCAGGGGTCACCACAGCGGCATTGGCGGTTCTAGCTTAAATTGCACCGTTGGCAAACCACCCCATATGTGCCCAACAGTGTATAAAATATAGACAAAACTAGAATCGGGGTCATTAAAAAAGTAAATAAATATTTATTATAATATTTATTATAAAAAAAAAAAATAAATATATATATATATATATATATATATATATATATATATATATATATATATATATATATATATATATATATATATATATATATATATATATATATATATATATATATATATATATATATATATATATATATATATATATATATATATATATATATATATATATATATATATATATATATATATATATATATATATATATATATATATATATATATATATATATAATATATATATATATATATATATATATAT